CCTTGATTTTTGAATTAGTTTGTTTGATAGGGTAAACTTAATATAATTTATATAAAAATGAGAGTTCTTTAGAAGATTTTGCTTAATCTGAGTTGATGGCAAAGAAAATAATGAATTGAATTAAACAACTTCAAATAAAATTAAATACCTTGAGTTTTAAATTTCTCTATCATCCTTTTCCAAATAGAATTCTTAATAAGTACAATCCTGCCTAATTTCTAACTTGAAATCAAATAGGTCTAATAAAAACTTTAGCTTAGTTGCCTTTTAAGGGTAAAGATAATTCTTTAATTTGTCTTTTATTAAACTATCTTTATAAAAGATTTATTGCATTTAAATAATGTAATAATCTTTAATATCATATTATTTAAGCCTAAACATCTCTCTTTCTTGTTAAGAATCCTAAAAGTAAACTATTTTATCTATTTAATATCTTCTTATCAGTATATATATCAATTTCTTTCTTAAACCATTTTTATTGATAATTTTGGCTTCAGAGATAAATAATTTGGTCTGCTGATTAAGTATTTGATTACCACAAGTTATTCAGTATTTGATTACCATAAGATGTTCAAGAATTCCATTACTAGAATTATTTCTTAAACAAACTTCGAATATAATTAAAGATGTAATTATTGGAAAAGTTATTAAATATATTGGTATTAATTATAGACAACTAAGTGGACTGAATGATTTTCTAAAAAAATTGAAAAGACCAATATAGTTTCAGAAAATATTTGTTTATTTCTTACATGAGAATGAAAGTTTTATATGATTTTTCTCTAGCCTTTTCATAGGATTAAAAATGTTTCCTGGCATTTCTGAAGCAGCATCATTTAAGTATTGCCCTTATCTACAATAGTATTTTTAATTCGGATAAATTCATTTAGAATATAGTTAGCCATTCAAATACATTTATTAGAAATTGTGAGATTTAATTTAGACTTATAATAATCACGAATTTTATAATTTTATAATAAATTTCTTGATTATTATAAAATTCTGTTTTACATACCTGTTAATATTAAATTTTATTTTTTATATAAATCGTTTTAAATGTTTAAAAAATTCTGATACTATCTTTATTGAATATAGTAATCTTCCGTATAATAAAAACATGAAAAAATAAAAAATATAACAATTAAAAAGTTACCTGTTAAATTGGATTGGCTAAAATTAATCAGCTTCTATTAAAAAGTCAACTTTGCTAAATTTCTTCACAAGAGACTGCTACCAGATTTATTTTAGTATTTCTAATATAAATTAAAGATATAATTGCTTTTTAAAAAGTAAAAGTTTTTTTTTTTTAGAAAAAGCTGCTTAATAGATATTTTATGAAGGCATTTGTTGTATAGATTAATTAGATTATTCAAGTACCACATTAGTGCAAGTAAAATTAAGTTGAACTAGAATATAATATCGATAAATTTTTGATTTAAAATATATGATCATTTAGACTAAGATTTTTTTCACTTGCTAAATTATTGTTATGAGACAGGAGATTTAAAAAAAATAAATTAATAACAAAAATTAAAAGACTTTTGTTTAATAAGTTGGTCTCCTAATCAGTCTTTGGGGAACAGTCTAAGTATAATTTATTGTAAAGTTTTCAATGATTAAAAGCACTTATTTACTGCTTATAAAAATAATATTTATATTTGAAGTTAGACAAATTTAAGTAATCGTTGATAAAATAGTTATATATAATAGATGAACAAAATTTAAGAAGTCATTTTTATTTTAATTCAATTTGCTGGGTCTAGACATAATTTTAAGTTTAAGTTTAGGTTTAAGGATTTGAGATTTTGTTGGCATCCAAGCAAATTAGATGACAAAAGGATTCTTATTACCCAATATTTGAATCAATTTTTTATCGTTCCTTGTTGTATTTCTTTAATTTATCAAAGTCGATCGGAATACATTGAAAGGCTCCACTTCTTTTAAGCTTTGATTAAGAATTGCAGATTCCCATTTAGTTTATTTTTTTATATTAATTGTATTAATATGATAATGGATAATATAAATTAGAATTTTTTAATATCATTAATGATAGAAATTTGTTTAAATATAAATTTTAGAATTCTTAAATTTTATTATTATACAGATCATCTTGATAATATTCCTAACAAATCTGTGTCTCTAAATATGAGAAGCTCTTAACCACTAACCTTAACTTTGAATCCACCAAAATCAGGTAATAAAACAGTGTCTCCAACTTTTACACAAATTTTAACAAAATCACCTTTGTGGTCATAATAGCCTTCGCCAGCCTAGAATTTTAGAATAATCGAATTACTTCAATGACTACTCCTGCTGGATTCTTAGTATCACCAGTATTTAGAATAATGCCACTTTAGGTTTTATTGGGAACTTCCAACTTCTTAATAAGAACTCTGTTCATGAGTGGGACTAATCTTTTGAATTGCTACATCAATTAATTTAATTAAATAAATAATATTATGGATTCAAACTAATTTGTATGATAGTTTCTTACTATATGATAGGGTATTGAAATGGCTAAGAAATTCTAACAGTTCTTTGCTCACATGAACAAGTTTTGTTAACAATTTTTGAAAGATTAGAATGTGGCAGAGATTTAAACAACAGAAAAGAAGAAAGAACGTGACCCTAATGCACCTAAAAAGCCTTTGACAGCATTCTTTTTATTTAATTAGAAGTACAGAGAGAAAGTAATCGAACGCAATCCAGGTATTATTAGCTAGAAAAATACTTATAGAGATTAAGCTTACTTAAATATCTTAAATGGCGGGAAATAAATGGTAATCTATGACAGAATAAGAAAAGAAGGTATTACTTTAACCATTTTTAATAGCCTTATCTTGACCAATACAATGCATCTAAGGAAAAATATGAATAGGACTTAAGAGATTATAATGAGAAGAATGGAATTGAAACAAATGATAAGAAGCGAAAGAAATCAGAGAAAGTATAATGAATTATAATATCTTTTTAGCTAGATAATAAATCAATGAAATCAGCATAAGATCATAATATTGATGACTTTGAATCAGAATCTATTCAACCAGCTGCAAAACATTAATAATAAATTAAATAACAATAATAAAAACAAAGCAATGATGAAGATTAAGTCAAATAGTAGCCCGGAAAATAAACTAAGCCATAACCATAACAAAAATAAATACCAGTTTAGACTAAAAAGACTAAAAATGTAGAGATAGATGATGATCTTTAAAAAGATATTGATTAAGCAATGAGTAATCCAAAATAGACATAAAAAAAATCTAAAAAATGAAAAGCATAAAAACAACCATTAAAATTAAAAATATTATTTATAATTTTTTTATATGTATTTAAATTGTTTAATCTGAGTCATAGATTGGCTATATATCCATCTCCATTAATCAACTCGTTAAACATATGATTTCCTTAAAGAGTTCTTGCTACTTGTTTTTTGTGTAATTCACATGGACCATCAATAAATCTAATTCCTCTGCATGCCTAAAAAGTAATTTACAAAATAAAATCAGTGGTAATACCTCGAGCACCAAATAATTAAATGCATTCATCAACAATACATTAACATTTATATGGTACAAATGCTTTAGTTTCACTAACAGCTTTGAGTGATTGTACATTTCTTGCACCTAAATAATCTAATACCATAGCAGCATTTATAATCATATTTTTGCATATTTAATAGTCACATTCCATTTTTCCAATTTTTTCTTAGAATGCTGAACCCTCTTTTTATTTTTTTCCTTTATGAATTCTTCTTTATCCTCTTTCTAACAAAACATTTAAAGATCTACGAGTCAATCCTAGTAATCTAGCACTGTGATGTAAACTTCCTCCTAAAAGTCTTTCTTTAGTCATAGCAAAAGCAGTCCCTTCTTTACCTAACATATTTTCTTTTGGAACATAAACATTATCGAATTCTACTTCTAAAAATCCATGGGGTGCATCATCATAACCAAGAATAGTTACTGGATTTTTAAATTTTATATTTGGATGAGGAATATCAACTAAAAACATAGTTTATTCTGTAAAGGTAGATTTTGTATTAACAGTTGTTTTACCCATCACTATACCGAATTTGCATCTTTCATCTTAAATTCCTGAGACCATCCATTTATTTCCTTTGATAACATATCCATCTCCTTATTTTATAATAATAGTCTCTAAATTAGTTGGATCAGATGAAGCTACATTTCTCTCAGACATAGCAAAAAATGTTTTACATTGTCCTTCAAGAAGAGGTTTAAGATATTTTTCTTTTTAATAATCATTAGCTGCCATTATCAATAATTTGATATTTCCAGCTTCTGGTTCATAACAATTGAAAATTTAATGTCCAAAGAATGCAGTACCCATAAGTTCAGATATGAATGTGTATTCTAAATTATTCAATCCTTTTCCATAAACAGGTTCCATTATGAAAAGATTCCATAATCCCAATTATTTTGCTCTTTTTTACAAATGTTCAATGCCTGGCAATCCTTTCCAATGATCATCTTTATCAAAAGAATAGATAATATCAAACTATGATTTCTCTATAGGGAATACTTCATCTTTCAGAAAATCTCTTATTCTATAGTAATAACTTTTGCATCTTTGACTAACTGGATATTTAGACCATAACTATTAATCAGTCTCAGCTCTCAATTTTATTTAGAAAGGATCATCATTTGTAAATTCTAAAACTATATTCCAAGCCGATTTCGATAGAATTTCAAGTTCTTATTGGAATATATTATTTTTATCAGGATTTACTTTATTCCTTATACATTGTTATTTGAAGATAGCTCTTTACAATAAAACTATTATAGTGTTGTAATTAATATGTTGTATTTAATCTAATTGTCTCTCCATACAATATTGATTAATCAATTCTTATTTAGTTTGTATTCCCAAAAGAGATTCAATTTATTTCAACCCATAACTAGTAACTTATTGTATGTATGGAATGTCATAGTTAGATAAAAATCTGGCCAATTCTAGAAAGGGATTCCCAAAAGAAATAGAATTCCAATTTTATACATTAATCAGTTTAATTTCCGATAAATCGAAAATAAAATTATTTAGTTCAACATTCCATAAACAAAGAGATTCTTATATTGTATATTCTGGAATATTCATTGATAACCAATAAAGCAGATCTTCAATATTTGTTTGAATTCTTGTTTCATGAGTTTTGTATTGGATTCTTAAACTTTCTATCATTGCAGTATAATTAAAAGTGCTTTGATAACCAATACTGTGAATTCGACTTAGAAAACTAATAATCTCACTTAAAACTAGTTTTCTTTAGTTCTTAGTTAAACTTTAAATTGTCAACTCATCAAATACTCTTCCTTTTGTTTATCCTCTAACATAAAATTCTGAACCTAAAAATCTTGTATCTTCACAAAAATGAATTACTTCTTAATCATGTTTGCATAACTCATTTTAAAGTCTTAAATCTTCTTTTAAAGATGTCACCTATAAATATAAGGAAATCTTTTACTCCTAATTTTTCAAATATTGGTTATTTTCTTATACTTAACGTTTATTAAGGACCACTTGATAATCAATATAAAATTTACTTAGAAGAAACAATAAGAACTTCACCATTGGTTAAAATATTAACTTATTCAGCCTTCAACAATTCATTTTGTCTGTAATTCAATATGCTCCCTTGATTATTAAGATAAAAAATCAATTCCTTTAAGTTGATTTGGAGGCTCATTTTATTTACTTTATGTTAAAAAAATTTAAAAAAATTGAATAGACATATCTTGATTTGTACGTTGGTATTTTTATAATCTTAATGCGTCATTGAAACTTAAAATACTTAAATTAATAAAAAATTTATCCATTATAGCTTACTTCTTAATTTAAATTATCCATTATAATTTTAATTTTTACTTGAACAACATAATTATTAATGAATATATTTAATAAAATTTACTCAACTAACTTTCTCTCTAAATATGTCTATATATTTTCTATTACATTATAAATTTTTTTAATTTTAAAAAAATTATCAAGAATCATTCCAACTCTATTCAAAATGTGTCCCATTTTTTCATTTTAAATACCTATAGGTTATCAAATATAAACAAAAATATAGAGGACATGATAAATGGCAAATTATATAAATTCAAGATTAATAAAATTTAAATTTATACACCATAGATGGCTTTCTTTAATAAAAAATAAGCAAAAAATCAGTTAACGTTAATAATTATTGGAAACCTTATTTGATTCAATCAGATTTAAGTACAAAAAATATAATATTAAAAGAGGATGAAATTATTGTTATTAAGGTTCCACCAATAGTCATGATAATAAAGTATATCTTTATCAACGATTCCTGTCAATATATAAAACACATCTTTTAATTGAGCTAAGAAAAAAGAACTGGTATTAATAAATTTCTTTTATAAAATCTTGAGGATTACAAATCATCATTAGCAATGTTAAATTATAAACAAAAAGTTATCAACAACCAATAAAAGAAAGAAATTTAGTAGATTTGATTTAAAATTATATCAATATAAGGGTTCTTTTTCCATTTATTGAAATTTTGACTTGATGAACCAAAAAATTAATAAATTCTTTGAATTTCAAAAGAATCCAATTTTTAGATCTTTTTCAATCATAAAATTTTTAATTAAGAATGTTTTAAGATGAAAAAAAACTAAATTTATATTAATCAAATTGTTGGAGTAGTCTTCATAATCAATGAATTTGAAATTTTATTTATTGAGTTTTCATCTTATCATAACTATCAAAAATAGTGGTATATAGCTATTTCTTATAAGCTGTATAAATTAAATTGATAGTACTAAATACAAAAAACTTCTGTCAATAATGAAGAATAGGATTAATCTGTTCATTAATACTTGTTTGGAGATACCTATTAAATACTTGTCATAAAATCGCATATAAAAAGTCTGAACATTTTAAACAATATAAGATTTATATTGCTTTTAGTATCATGTAATACTTGCCTAGCTCTTGATATTTTTCTTCGGTAAAATGCTCTTTTTAATTAAGTAATATAATATTAAATCTATTTTCATGGTTTGATTAATACTATCCAAATCCCACAAATATTTGTCTTGAAAAAAATCATTTAAAAAAAGATTTGATATTTATAAATTATAAAAAAACATAATATCAATCAATTTAAATAATTAAAGCCACTCCTCTTTTGGACCAATGTTTTTTTTCATTTTTTATTGGTATTTTAATATTACAAATGAAATTAATAGATAAACCATTAGAAGTTAGAACTCCTTTTCTTTAAGAAGTATTATATAAAGGACAAGAGTAATGATTATACTTTTTAGTTTGATTGGTTGGTAAAAACTTAATAATTGGACATTTAAAAAAGAGTATATTAGTTTCTGGTTCTAGAAGAGTTTATTCTTCTAAATCGAATTATGCTCCATCAATAGATAATCCTTCAATATAGATTCCATTTGTAGATTATTGAGTTGGATTTAGTTTAATGAATTCAAAATCGAATTTTAATTGATCAATAGGTATTTTGGATTTTCTTGAATAATTCTATAAGACTCCCGTTAGAAATCCTTGAATAAAGAAAAAGCTTCCAAGCCAAAAGATTGTAGGTTCACCAAGATTAATCCAATTATCTAAGAATTATAATCTTTTAATTAAATCACTAAACCAGGATCCTAAAGGTTTAGTAGTTAAATAAGAGAGCTTAATCCAATCAGAGGGTATTTTATTATCAAAGATAGAATTGTAAATATCATTAAGTTAATCAGTCATATTGATGTATCCTTCTAAGGCTTGCATAAGTTATTCTAAAGATTTCGATATTCGATTAATTAATCGATTATATTTATTAACTTCCTGTTATATAAGCGTATGCATAGAATTGTCTTAAAGTAATGGATACTTTTATTCAACTATTTGAATATCAAATTCAGTAGGTAGTTAATTTAAAATAGATTTACTTTTTTTCTAAACTAGTTTATCTGGATGAATGCTTTGATCTCCTAAAGTTCTAGGAAGTAATTGTAGAATAGTGGAACTTAAATTTTCTGTATCTAGAATAGCTGAGTATATTTCAGCATTTGGATGCAAACCAAATAATTGAGGTGGATCAGCAACTGGAAAAGTAGAAATATAATCTATATAGCCTTTTAATGGCATTTCTGAAGGTACTTTATAAACATCATTGAATGAAAATCCTTCTACAATATCTTTGTTAATAAGATCAGAAACATAAATATTAAGTAATTTTCTATCAACAGGATCAGTTACTCTTCCTCCATAATTATTTTCAGCAATAAGATAATGAAGAGCATCCCAAGGAATGTCATTATTTTAATCTAGAAAGAATTAAATTTATTCTTTTGACATTTCTAAATCATGTTAAGAAAAATTATATCCAATATTCCATCCTAATGGTCCATATTTCTTACGTTCTAACAAACTTGCATGAAGAAGAGCCAAAGAAAAAAAAAGATTCTTCCATTCTTTTAATCTTTTGCAGTTTTCAAACTTTTCTGGATCTTAAGAAAGATATGATCTTAACATATTATTTTTTATTCCTCTTGGTAATTCATAAGTCATTTTGAGTGCTATTAATTTAATATCTATAATATATTACCTCTTATTATTACATTTTATGGTAATAGATTAGTAGGTAAAGTAGTTAACCAAAGACGGAAATTTTAATGAATATTTTATTTTAATTGATTTTCATAAAGTTTTTCTAATTCTGGCATAAATGATGCAGCTAAATGGCAATTTTGTAGAAGTACCCAATTGCCATTTTATATAGCTTTTAATATTAATTTAATTGCTAATTAACTTTGTCCTTATCCTAATGAAATAACATTTAATTTATCTTAAAAACCATATTTATTAGCAAGTGCTATGATTTCAGATCTAGGATCAGCTCCAGGTGTTGTAACACATAATAATGGTGTATTTTAATCTGATTCTAGATAGAATTATTCAAATGTTATAGGAATACTTTCTAAAAAGATTTATCCCATAAATGTTCTTATCATTTCATTAGTTGCTTAAATGAATTATTCTGGTTTAATAATTTTGACTATCATATTAATTTAAAATTAGTCTAGATTAAGAATGGAAATTTTGAAACTATGAGTACTTAAATAAAAATGATCCCAAAAAGATTTGTTATTAAGAAAGGAATCACAAAGTCCATTGAATATGAGTGGATATTATTATTATAAATCAACTAAAGCTAACCACATTTTGTAAGTTAACCATAAATAATCTTATGGCATAGATATTTCTGTAGATGTCAATGAACAACCCATAACAGATGTTCTAACTAAATTAATGGGAACATTCATAAGTCTTTGACATAATAGAAATCTAAAAATGAGTTTATCTTTCTCTAATAATGATCTATTAACAGCATTGTAAAGCATAATTATGAATTTATCTATAATATATTGATTTCTTCTAAGTTTTCCTTATGAAGCTTCTTTAATAGCCTTAGAATAAAGAGAGACATAAAAATCTAATGACCATAAATAAGTAGGTTCTACTGTTGCTAAATAATAGACTACAAAATATAAATTAGCAACAGTTTCAGCTACTTATTAATATGATTATCTAGTGACATTAAATGCTTAACTGTCTGTTTCTAATTTACGAATTCTTTCTTCAATATTATTTCCTTCATCTTTTGTATTTTATAAAGCAATAATGATTGTTTCATTTTATAATAAATCTCCTCCCGCTTATGATAATAATTCTAACATTTAATCTTCTGTTTTAATCAATTTATCTTGATTCGATATAAAGTAAAATATATTCTTAATTCTCAATTCTTCTTTAACTGGTTCATCAATTTTAACAACAACATTTAACATTTAATCAGTTAGTCCTTGTAGTGTAGCTTAAAAATTAAGTAGAGTTACCATTACACAAATTTATGGTTAATAATGTGGATTATCTAATTTAGTTGTTAAATAGAATCTAAAATCATTAGATTATTCAATTATTTTATCAAAGAATTTAATTTGAGCAGTAGATCCAAAATCTTTTTATGATAATATTTAAATAAATAATGGATCAATATCTTCTGTAACATTCTCAACTAAAACAGCGTAACCAATTTAAATAGCATGTTCTAATTATAATTAAACTTATTAAATTGGAGATCTTGCATTAAAAATCAATAAACTTTTAATATCTTCCATATTTCTGATCCATTAATTAGCTTATAATTAAGGATCAATTATTAAAGGCCATTTGGATGATTGCTTCATAATGATGGCATTATCTATAGAAAATTAATCATTAGGTAATTTCTATTGAATCCATTTATTTATTTATAAAGGATCACTTAATTACTTTTATAATTAAAATGGAGATGATGATTAAATACCTTCCTATAATAATTTCATCTACCATAATTATATTGCATTTTCTCTATATTAAATAGGAAATACACCCATGTATGATATTAATGCTGAACATAAAATGCTATCTCCTTCAAGAGTATTTTATTCTGCTTTTATTTTTTATGTTTTCTTTTTCCATCTAACTTTTTCATCAGAAAGATTATTAGTTAATTTTTCTGCTCTCTATAATTGTATTGTTATACTTTCAACTTTTTATTCAATTTATTCTTTTTCTATTCTTGCCTTTTAATATTCATTTGATAATCTTTTTAATTCAATCATAACTTCATCTAATGCTGATCTTTTAATACCTAATTTCTCTTCTGCATCTTTTAATCTTATTTCAGCTTCTGCTAATTATTATTTCTTAGGTTCAATTATTTCAACTGCTTAATAACTATTTAATACAGCTCTTATCCAATCAGACAAATTACCTGCTGCTGTTGATGCATTAAATACTTTATCTCTTTCAAAAAGAGGATTCTATGAAAATACTTCTAATTTCTCTATATTAACTATATTTATTGCTCTTATCTCTTCTAATTTCATCTTTTTTATTCTTTTTATTAATTTATCATTTAATAAATTCTTTTTTGCAAAATCCCAAAAATCTTAAATTGTTGGAGGATCTTTATTCTTTGATTAAACTTAATCATCAATCTCAAAAGCATAACAAAGTCCCTCCATTACTATTGCAGCTGATGGAGGAGGATAAATAAATGATTTCAATAATATCATATCTTCTCTTGATATCTTCTCTAATGCATCTGTTGCTTATTTCAATAATGGTATTACATTATTTAATTATGTTTAACATATATTTCTTAATGAATTAGCTTCTTCTCTTTATACACTACATACCTTTTCATCTTATTCACATACCATTCTCTTTTAATCAGCATCCTACTATCTTTTCTTTATTTTCTTTAACAATATCTAATTTTCATTTGTTGCTTTCTCTAATTGCGGTTACAATTCAAAAAGTATAATCCTTATCTTATCTACTTCCTATTCTGTATGTAATATCTTTTCTATTCCTGTCTCCATTCTATCTATTGCTTTCCTTGATTTTAACATTCTCTCCTCAAAAATCTTTTAATAAATCTTTAACATTTATAAATATTAAGTTGGAGTAACATAAAAGTATCTTCTCATTTCTTCCTTATATTTATCTGTTAAATCAAGTACTTTATGATGGATATCAACTGCAACCTTCACTAAAGAATTCTATTTCAAAAACCCAAAAGCTGTTGATTCTAAAGCTTCATCTGACCAACTCATAAACCAATCTATTGTAGTACTATTAATGATGGCTGGAAATGATCTTAATCTTTTACGAATAGCTTCACCAATAGGTTGCATACATAAAATGATATGCATATTTTGTTTACAATTTTTGATGAATTATTAGTATGGTAGTTCTTCTTAAACTTTAATTCTTTCTTCAGGAGGAAAGAGATGAGAAACTTCTCCGTGAGTCATAATATTACAAATATCTTCTAACATGTAATCCTAATGAAATTATGTTTCTTAGAAGATGAGTGTTATAATTTAATTATCCATCCCAGAATCTTTGAGTACAGAGAGTAGGTTTTCATCCCATTGTTTAGAATCGATAGTTTCTGCAGTTTATTGGAAGAGTATGAAATTAGCTAACTTAGACAAAGATGCTAAAATATATTAATATTTATATACTTCTGCCACTTCCACCCATTCCAATGAGTAAAGCATGACCACTTAATAGAATTCTGGAGATTCTAGCAACATGTAAAATAGCATTAGTAAAGAGTATCAATTCCATTTTGTATTATTGTTATTGGTAATTGTATTATTCTAGAAACCATTTAACTTTTTCTTAGACTCGATGCATGATTGGTGCTTCATCATATTGATTATTAAAAAAAGGTAGAAAGAGATTATGCTAGAGATGATCAGGATATAATTATTGTATGGATTCCTTCATAATATCATTATAAGTTTTGATATCATTTTAATCGACTAATCTATCACAAAAGATTCTGGCACATTCATGACTCCATAATTTGATTAAATATTATTAATTAGTTATTTTATGAACTTTACTAATTCCTTGAAATATTTTAAAAATATCTCTAACAGTATAGATATAATGAGATTTGGAAGGAGTAGGTAATAGTTTAGATTAAACTTTTTCAAAAAGGAAGAGAGTAGTAAGAATGATTTAATCCTTAATATTTAAGAATTCGCTTCCATTATCAATTTTGATAGATAACCAATAGATGAAGACTTCTAACATATTAGTTAAACTTTCATTATCAAATCCTCCAATATAAAGTATATTAAAGAATCTTAAGAATCTTTTAGTGACTTAATTTCTACCACTAATATTAGGTTGCATAGCTCCAAGAAATGTGATATCACACATATATTTAAATTCTTTATTGTCTAAATCATACCAACCTCCCATTTCCATCCATTATCTTAATAATTCTATAGCTGGTTATGCTCCTTCTGGTTCTCTGTGAGGCATATTAAGATCATCAATAAATATGAAGATATGTCCTTCTTCTGATGCATAATAACCTTTTCTTCTTCTTTTGTTAATTTTAGTTTCAATCAATCTTTATATAGAATTACCAGTTGTAGATCCAGAACATACTATTTAGAATCCTGATTTAGATGCCATAGATAAAGTTTTACCTGTACCTGTTGGACCACAATATAACATATGTATACCAATTGTTGCTAAATAATCATTTCTTATTGAAGATTATGTTTATACAACTATTTAATGGAATTACATTTCAGGGTTTATTTATTTCTTGTTACTTAACTATATATAATATAAATAAAAACATTACATTAGTCCATTTTACCCATTTTCCATTATAATAACAATGAAGAAAATAATCTATTCCATCATTATTTGGAAATCCAAAATATGCTTCATCTTAATAAATTGTTTGCATTTCAGATTTATTTGTTTTTATTAATTAATTTATGAATCTACTAAATTATGGTCTATAAATTTCATCCATAGCTGCTCCAATTGACCAAATTAATGCAAAAATCATCATATTATCCATATTATCATGACTTTTATCTTCAATACTTAAAAGTGTTAAACATTTCTTTGTAAGATTAATAAAATTAGAAACAAGTATGGTTTCAATATACATAACTGGAAATTTAGCATATAATTTAGTCCATGCTAATGTATGATCAATCAAACTAATTAATAGATGAATATATAATTACAATCTCATTCTTCTAATAAAATAATCTAAATCAAATCCATTTGGTAATTGTAATGTTGCGATTAAAGATGGCCATTTAAATGGAATATAATAAATCATACCACATCTGGATACTGTTGCTGGAGATGCTGCTGATAAATCTTCTACTTCAAATACCATACACATTGTATTTGGAATCTTTAATATTTCTCCAGATGTCAAACATAATTTTTTATTATCATCTAATACAGTATTTAAATTCTCAATCCATAATGAATCTACTGGACCATCAAAATGAATCCAAATTCTCTATGGTTTCTCTATATTCTCTCTTATAATAATTGGAGCTACACCATCAGACCATTATCTTGTATCAGCATCTAAAAATCCATATAATTAATCTGTATTTATAGATTTCGGATTCAATTTAAATATTTGACAATTCAAAGCTTTTGCCAAAACTTAAATTGTTGTTGTCTTACCTGAGAATGTCTCTCCTATACACATTACGCCATTTCGAACATTTATATTATTATATAATTCTTCTATTTTTTATAAGAATAATCTATCCATCTAACAATTCAATTCTGAACATGCTTCTTCCAATTCTAATTAATTTTATTCAACTTATTTAACATCAGGAAATAAATCTTTTGTGATAGCCATAAATAAATCAACATCATTAGGTATAAATTTAGGTTTATTAACATTTATTATTGATGTTAAACATATTTCATCTTCATATCCTTCATACATATTCTTTGCAGCACTTAATATTGCTTTTAATGCTCTCATCCCAAAATCATAATGTTCTTAAGATGATAATTATTCATTGCATAATCTTAAACATGTGACTATCTTTTAACTTAATTCTCTTGCTTTTTCAAATCCAGTACTATATAAATATATTTCAGCTATCATAGCATAATCTGGAACTACCATAGCACATGGTCTAAATAATATCTATAAATTATCTGGTAATTCAGATCTACCTGCATAACCAGGATTCATTGTTATATTTATTGATACCGTTAAACTTAAATTTATCTATACTCCTTCAAAATTAAATTGCATTCTCTTTTCCTTTACTGCTTAAAATATTGTATATATTTATTAGGCTACAACAGATAATACCTCAGGATCTAATCTATTAAATTCATCAAAACAACACCATGATCCTGAAGATGCTAAACCTTTAAAAAACTTACCCATTGCTATATAATTTAATCCCTCTGAACAATTAAATACTATACATGGCATTCCTATTGCTTTTGCTAAATCTTTTACTGTCTCTGTTTTACCTGTACCTGCTGGTCCTTCAGGAGCTCCTCCATAATTCATATTTAATGCACTCAATAATGTTCTTTAACATCTATCTGTTAATTTTGTTATCACCAATCTTGTTAAATTTCCCAAATATTCAAAACCATATTTCAACATTGAATTTACCATTTTAACATTAACAACAAATTCTTATTCAACTATTTCATTATAAAATCTCATTTAAGAGATCCAAATAAATTCATTTGCATCTTAAACATTTTTCTTATAAAGAGAATCTACAATATCTTTCTAATGTACTTCAATAACGACCATTGCTTCTAATGTTGCAGTTTATAATTTATTTTAATCTGATCTAACTAATAAAACAGTATCTTAAAGTTCTTTATGTAAAATACTTAAATATAATTTAAGATTCATTTTTTATTATTATCTAATAGCTGTTTCTGTACTTCTAGTCCATTTAATTTGATTGGCCAATAATATAGATTATGTTGGCCATTTAGTAATAAACTCTTATTTTGTACAATTCAAATCTTTTAAAGTTCTATTAGAAATTCTTGATATAGAAATTTTCATTTAAGTTTCTAAATCTTATAACCATAATTCCACATTTCCAGATTTATCATCTTGAGCAACATTTATTGGTTGTTCTAAAGGTACACATTCTTTTAATGATGAATAAATTCCAGTTATTAATGAATATTTTTCAAACTTTAATTCTTAAATAGATTCAAAACATTTATATATATGTCTTTAAACTTAAACAGGTTCTTTAGTTTATGCCAATATTTCAACTAATTCTTCATCTGATACAAAATAGAATCTAGGAAATAATACTCTTTTTGATTCTAAATAAATTGTTAAACTTTTTTATATTTAATCAAGCATTAAAACATTATTACTAAATTCTATTTTCATTTTTTCAGAATCAATACAATCCCATATCTTTCTATTTTAATTAAAGTTTTCCATACACATTTTAAATGATTAATCCACATTTCTAAAGAATTAAGCTTCTTTTGCTAATTTTTTCTTAATATCTTCACTAGTAAAGATAGGATCTAAATATATCCAATGTTTTTAACATTTCATTCCATACTCTAATGTATCTTAAATTAAAACTGTTTTATATTCTAATTAATTGGCTTTACTTAAAACCATCTTTACATGAGGTTATGCTTTTAAAATACCTAAGACATTAAGTTATTCATCTAATAACATTTAAACTTCTTCATAATTCTTAAATATATATGTATCTTTGTATGGTACAATTTCAATAATAATGACTGATAATTTATCTTACATTTCATTAAGTCTTTTTTCAATATTCCATCCTTTTTCAGCTCTCTAAGAAACAGCTAATACTTATTCTTTTACATTTAGAATCCCTCTTGTAATTAGAATTTGTAAAGGGAAATCTTCTTTAGGATCAAAATTTGCTATATGACATTCACGAAATAGATCTCTCCAAAAAGATGGTTTCTTTTAAAATGCTTCTATTACAAGGGCTTCAATAATCCAAATAAATTCTTTTGATCTTTCCATTGCTGCTCTTAGACCTCTTAAAAATTATTATGCATATTCATTATTAACATCTTTGAAATATTGACTCATTTTAATTGTTTAATTAACATAATCATTTATTTTTATTTAAATATCTTAAGAATTCAATTTTTTAAATGATCCATATAACCATTAATCTTTTTATTATTCAAAATTGCTAGCTAACTCCCATAATTTTTAATATGGTTAAAATTCACTTATTAATAAATCTAATTATGGATAAGTAGAATTAGGTAAACCAAATAATCCTTCTCTTTAATGAAATGAATGTGCCATCTCTTTTGCATCATCAAAATATTAATTTAATTACTTTACTGTTGGTAATTTATATTTAACCTCTTCATAAGAATGAAAATTTTTTATCTCATTAAATACTTCAGATATTCTGTAAATATGTTCTTCAAACTCATACTTTTCTGCTCGAAGCTTTTCTAAAAACTATTTCTCTTGTTTCTCAATCATATTCTTATTCAATTAAACTAATTCAGTTATATCTTATGGCCAAAATTTCAATTAAAAAAAATCTATCATTAAATCAAAATCAAATGGAACATAAAATATATTTAATACATCAAGCATTTCACCTCTATAAATATATAATTATTTATTTATTACATCTATAATATTTCAACTTTCTTTCTAGAAAACTCCATCTTTAACTCTCCTAACAATAATTTTAATTCCACCAATTTCTCTTCAGTATGAGGTAATGTTGAACTTTTAGATTATATTTCATCAAACTATTATTTTATATTCACAGTATTATATTTTATCAAATCAATTATTTTCTACTATTTATATATATTTATACATTTGTTATTTGATTTGCTTAATCTTATACTTTTTCTTTTAATATTAATTTTAAATCATTTAAATTTACTGAAAACAATCCCAATCTACTACGAGTATTACATAAATGATCTATCTCTAATAATGCATTTCTTGATTGTTGTAATCTTTAAATTATTTATTGCTTATTTATTGGTGTTAGAGACTTTTCTTTAGGTTCCATTCCTAATATTTCAGCTATTTCCTTTGATTTTAATGGAATCAAAAATTTCTTAAATTTTTAAAACTTTTCAACTAAATTATAACATTTTTAATATTCTATTGTTATTATCTATATTATTTCCTCTTCTAAATCATGAATTTATTTCTAATCAAATATATCTTTAAGTGTTTCTTTTAATAACAATAATGTCATTAATTCACTTCTGATTGTTTAGATTTTTTATACAAAATTTAATAACTATCTACATGGTTTTAATAATTATTCTAAAATATCATTAAGAGAGTATTAGATATAAATAATTGGATCATTTTATTTATTAATTTATACATTTGAAAGACGTTAATCTTTTCTTGACATTTTCCCTCCTTTAGGTATAATTATTTTTACACTTAACTCAAGTAAAGTAGTTAATTCAATTTTTACCTCATTTTCACAATTGTAAGTATATTTTATTAAAAATAGTTTTAAATTATGATATTCTTTTTCAATTTGTTTTTTTAGAAAATTCAAGTAAATATAATTTATTTTTATTAACAATTTCTCTAATTATCCTCCTTTAAATTAATCTTATTGTGTTGTTACAAAACTGTGCTCTTTAGATAAGCAATCTTATATATTAGAAAGCATAAATAATCGTTAATTTTTAAATTCATTTAATTAAAGCATGATTTATTAATCAATAAGACAAGTGAATTCTTCTAATTTGATAGGTAATTGAATCAATCGAAAATCATAAGTGTATATTGTATAATCATCAATTCTTTAAATCATATTTTACATAGCACAAATTGCTGATTTTTTATAGAAGTGTACCTATTTCTTTACAAGTTTTTTATTCGTTGAATAGAATTAATATCTCTCTTAAGGGACAAATTTAATTTTCTTATCATAATTTCCAACTGCACATTTTTTCATTGCTACTATATACTCATTTTCAATTTCAACTAAAATAGAAATAGTTAAAGAAGAATTCATGTATTTCTTAATTAACTTTTATCTTAATGTTTATGGAAATTAAGAGACATCAGTGTTATGAACAGACATGATTTGTTGTTATTTCTTATGTTCAATCTTCTTTAATAATTATCTCTATTAGCTTTTATATAATAATTATTTTACTTGCAATGTTAAACCTTTTAATATATTTCTTAGTTTTAATTAACAAATTAAAGAGATAACCTATCAACTTTCTTAATTTGACCGTCTGGATATTTTTAAACTATGAACTTATTTTATTAAACGTCAAGATCTAAAATAGTAACATCTTCCCAAAAATATTGACTGTCTACTTATAATTTAAAGTACTTCAATTTTTAATGAAAAAACTGGCATTTTGCTTATGGTGGTTTGATTTCCTTACAATGTTCGAACCATTCCAAATTACTCTTTTCTTATTATTATTCCAAATATATTATATCTGTGCTAGATCTTCTACTATCAAAATGCTTTTAAGAAAAATGTTTTTAAGAAGAACACTAATTCATTAAAATTTTTAATCCATATATATTTTACTCCTCTTTGGAATTAGTATATTTCTTCTTCGACAATGAACGTTAAGATTTAACAATAAATGATCCATTTATAGGTGAATTAATGCTAAACAATAAGATTTGTCGTACCTCTAATCAGATTCAAATGAATCAACTAAACTTTGAAACTCAATTTCTTATTCTCTAATTCTAGATAAATCAAATTTTCGAATTTGAACAGGAGCTTTAATCGATAACTTAGTATTAGAGATTTTCTTAAGATCAAGTACTCTAATATTTCTACTCATTTTTATAATTAAAATTAATCAATCTTCTAATTTAAAAATTGTTTAGTGTAAATTGTCATTTATGATAGTTAAATTAATACAAAATAGGTCTTGTAATGCTTATAAAAATGAGAAGATTTATAGAGCTTTAATATTGATTTGATTAAAATGAATAATACATAATACAGAATATTAATTATATAAATAAAATAAGAATGATTGGAATGATGATGTAATTAATTAATTCATGATTTATTTGTTGCTTTGTATTGTATTGTCTTATGGAGCTGAGATTGATGTTAATACTTTTAGTAATTACATAGAAGTGAGTTAAGAGCATGTACATATAGAATGGCTTCTTGATTTAGATCAATAACATATAAATGCAACAAGTCAATAAATATTTAGAGTCAACAGTAACAAACTTGATAAGATTGATTTGGATATTTATCAATTAGATATAATTGCTGTATACATATCTTCTTCTGGAAATATTTTATAACATAATATAATAAAGTAAGGAGATCAATCACTTTTATAAGGAGATGTTCTATAAATAAAGTTAGATAGAGTATATTTAAGAGGAGAATATATTAAATTAAATATAAGATATAATTTAGATTCAAAAGGTGCAAGAGCATTAGGATTTTTGAGAAAAGAATAAACTTATAGTAAATAAGTTCCATATCTGTTTTCTTAATGTGAAGATAATAATTGTAGATCAATGATTCCTTTATAAGATACGCCAAGTGTAAAAATATACTTTACAGCAAGTGTATTAGTAAAGGATGCAAGAATAAATGTATTTATGACAGGTAATAAATTATAAAGTATGAAATTTAAACTATTAAATAATTATGATAATTTATAAGCATTAACATTATATTAATTTGAATTAGATATTAAGATTCCAGCATATTTGATAGGAATAATAGCAGGTGAAGTAGTTGAAAAATCAACAGGAAATTAAACATATGTAATAGCAGAGCCTCATTTTATTGATGATTATGCATAAGAGTTATCTGATTTACCAATATATATGAATGAAATGTAGAAATATATAGGTCCATATATATGGGGAGATTATAAAATAGTTATATTACCAGCATCTTTTCCATTTGGAGGAATGGAACATCCTTTATTAACTTTTGCTAGTCCAACTATTATTGTTGGTGATAAAAGTGGTGTTGGTACAGCTATTCATGAAATTGCACATTCTTGGGTTGGTAATACAGTAACAGGAAGAAATTGGGCAAATTTTTGGATTAATGAAGGATTTTGTGTATTTTTAGAAAGAAAGATTTTATCTAGATTAAATGGATTAGATTCAGTTAAATTGGATGCTATTAATGGTAATTCAAGTGCATATACTTCTATGTAAACTTTTGGTTTAGATAATTCATTTTCTAGTATGCATCCAAATACTAAGAATAGAAATCCTGATGAAGCAACTAGTCGTGTTCCTTATGAAAAAGGTTATTAATTATTAACTTATTTGGAAACTTTAATTAAAGAAGATCCATTTTAATAATTTTTAAGAGATTACATTCAACATTTTAAATTTTAAAGTATTGATGAAGATTAGCTTTATTAATTTTTATTAAATTGGGTTAGAACAAATAAAGGAGATGATGCTTAGAAAATCATTACAGATATATAAACTATATGGAAAGATTGGGTTTATAAACCTGGTTTATCTCCTATTTAAATTGATGTTTAAACTCCTTTATTCACTAATGCTAATAATTTAGCTAAAGCATGGATAGATGGAAGAGGATAAGTTCCAGAATAAGCAGATGAATTTATATAATATAAACCAAATCAAAAAAGTGTATTCCTATAATATTTAATTGATAATTCTGGACTTGTTGAAAAAACTGTATTGGCCACCATGGATCAAAAATATGTATTGACTTTCTATAAAGATTAAAAAATTGCTTATAAATGGTATAGATTAGTTTTGTTAGTCGAATATAGAGAAGCTCTTGAAGGAGTTCATGATTTTGTCTCTAAAGTTGGAGTATCAAGTTATTTAAAAGTATTATATGATTTATTGGGTTATCATTATAAGTAATTATATATTTATATATATTTAAGTGAAGAAGCTTATTTATGGTTTGATGAAAATAAGACCTTTTATCATCCTGTTGTTGTTGAAGCTATTGAAAAAATATTATAAAAATATCCCAAGAAGAATATTTTTGAGTGAATATATTTATTTAAACATATATTTTTTGATTTTATTAAATTTCATATAATTATATTAATTTTAAATTCATTTTTTATTTTAATATTTCAGATTAATTAATCTTGCATTTTCATTTTAAAGGCTGGATTATGATGAATTATAAATATTATATTTCTAATTTTTACATCTTTTTACTTTTTCTTTTAATATTCACAAACAACCAATAAATTCAAACTATTCAATATACTTCATTAAAAACGTCTAAATTATTCATATTTTAATTAGTGCAGTTAATTTGCTCCTTAATATTTTTTGTATTTATTATTTTTAGTAAAATTATGGGATGTTCTATTTAAAAGAAAAGGAAAGAATACTAAGCTATTTTATCATAACAATAAAAATCAATACCTTAAGAAACTTAATAATATTCATCTTCACCCAAAAATGAAAATTTAATCATAGAAACTCCTTCACAAATCAATTTAAGAGCATAAAGGTTAAAACAAGTGAGAAACATAATCATAAATGGATATTCAAATTCTCCAAAAATAAAAAATAATAGAAAACAATCAGGTTAAATTTGATGGATAAAAAAACATAAGATTTTGATCAATTAAATCTTCTTCATCTGTATATTAAAACTTATTTTCATATTAGTTCATTATTTTATTTGTTCAGTTTTTAATTATTATTAATTTACATTCTTCATTATTTCTATAATACAAATCAATAAAAATTATCAAATATAAAGATAGACATACCAGATAAGCAATAAATAATGTACATATTTAAAAGTAAAACTTAATAATGATGACGATTAAAGTTAAATTAAATTCAAAAAAAATAATAAAACTGAAGTTAAATTGTGCGATTAATCTATACAAATAAATAAAACTCAATAAAGCTATCCTTTCTTATTATTTTATGATATAAAAATAAGAATGCCCTCTTTTTTTTTTTTTTTAAATATAAATTCATTTATTTAATAATGTATAAAGGATATATTGAAATGATGTTCAAAGAATTTAAAGTTAAGGCAATTTATTTGCCATATAAATTTTAAAAGAATGGAGGTGAAGGGAATATCATTTTAGATATTGATTTAATAAAAGAGGTAAGAAGATGATATTTAAAAAAAGTTAAACTAATTCATAAAGTAGAATATGAACTAGAATAATGAACATTTGATCCAATAATTTATAAGAATGTTTTCAGTTTAATTAATGCTTCCTATACATGTAGTTGAAGATTTATTAAGTAAACCATAAGAGATTCCTGAATAGTAGTTTGAAGATTATATAGATGATTCAATAAACAAATAATCAATAAATAGGATAAAAGAATAGACTTATATAGATGAAATGAAATTGATAACATAAATGTAATTATCAAGTGATCAGAAACCTGTAGAATAAGTATTTGTAGATGAAATAAAAGATGCAAAATTACGAATCACTATAAGAGCAAAATTAATCAATAAACCTATAATAGAGAAAGAATAATTATCAATTATAGCAGATTATATTCTTTAATTTAGAGATGAAAGTGGAATGTTCTAAGTTAATTTTGCAAAAAATAGAATTAAAGAGAAGTTTTAATATTATTATGAAAATCTTGAAGTTTAAAATATTTATGATATTAGTGAAATGGAAGTAATTTAATTTAAATAAGGTTATGTGACTCAAGAAACATAATTTAAATTATATAATAAAGTTCCTATTTTAGACTAATTAAAAAATGCATTAAAAAATATTTAGAAAAATGGAGAAGAAATAGTTGTAGCAGCTATGGTAGCAGAAATAGGTGAATTAAAATAGTAAAATAAAAAATTGATCTTATATACTTTACCAATTGATAATAATACAGATTTTTATAAAATACCATTAATTTTATGGGATTAATATAAATTATTAAATTTTAAAATAGGAGAGGTTTATGTTTTTGAAGGTGTTTAATTAAAAATGTACAATAATTATATAGTATTAAAATCCTTGAAAACTAGATTTACGGTATATAGTGAAGTTGATGATAAATACAGAGAAATCATATAGTAAATAATAGATTTAAAATAAAATTGGCTTGGAAATACAACTCAAATGATATAAATAGAATAAGTTATTCAAACACCAGTATTTATCAATGATATTCATAAACCTATTAATTGTGAATGTTTCAATACTATTGTTAAAATATTGAAGGATAAACCAGTCATTTTCTAAATGAAAATACAAAAATATGTTAGACAAATAGTTGTTACAAATGATAATTAGAATAGTCAAATAATTGAACTAATAGGTGATAGATTATGTTCAAAAGTTTATATTGCAGAAGAAGCAATTATCTTTATAAGTTATTTACAATTTGTTAATAATAAAATTGTTTCAAATGAACATCATACACAAATCAGAAATGTATCAGATGATGATATTGATTTTGTTGAGTAATTTCAATTATTAATATAACCCTTTTCTAATCCATTGATATTATCTCAAAATGATTTGGAATAAAATAATTAAAGTAATTTATAGAAAAAAAAATAAATATAAATCAAAATCTATTAGAAAAATTTAGAATAATAGAAATCAAATTAAAATGAAAGTTTTAAGAAAGGTTTAGATAGAAATGAATTTATGAATGATATTACACCTTTATTAGAAGGTAAAACACGTAAAGGTAGATTTAATGTATTGGTATAAATAGATGAATTATTTGAAATCAGACATTAAAAAGGAAATGTTAAACTACAAGATTTAAGAATATCTGATGAATCAGATTCTGGAAAATTAACTTTATGGAACAATTAAATAACAGATTATAAAATTGGTTAAACAATTAAAATTGATTAAATATTTTATGATAATAGTAAACTAGAATTCAAAACAACATTTCATACAAAAATATCTACTAATTTTCCAAGTAAAAATCTACAAAATAAATAATAAAGATCAAACTAAAAATAATTAATTATTGATGGTATTGAATATTAAAATTTTACTTACAATTAAGAATTAAAATTAATCTATGATATAATCAAGCTTTAATAAAATTTATAAGAAGAATTACCATATTAATATTGTAGAGCAATGATAACAGAAATATTAGTTGCAAGATTATCTTAATAATGTCCTTAATGCACTTTTACTAAATTAATATAAATGAATGATTTATATGAATGTTCTGGTTAAAATGGAATAAAACATATAGTCACATTGCCAAAAATATTTTGTTACCTTAAATGTAAATTAACAGATTTTAGTGCCTCTATAGAAGTTATTTTTGGAGATGAAATATGTTAGTAATATATTCCTTAAAACATTATGAATGAATTATATAAAAATCAAATGACAGTAATACCATATTTTGATTGTTTAATGTACAAAGAATTCACTTTTAAATTATGGCTCTAAAAATAAAGAGATTAAGAAAATAAAAAAATTAAGATAATGAAATTATTTTAAACAAATTACTTAAAAATTATAGATTCATATTTGTGACATCTATAAAATTTTAGATAAAATTATCAATCATCATCATCATTTCTGTTTTTTTTCATATTTAATTTAACAAGAGCTTTGCCAACTGCTCCAATCCATCCTTCTTTATCTTTATTATTGTCTGCTTATAAGAAAAATGTTTAATCAGGAGTATCAATTTTCTTAATGTATAGAGTAATCAATATTTACGAATGTATTTTCCTTATTAGTTTCTTCTTAGCAGCTTTTTATAGAACTAACTTATGATAATTAAATTATTTCTGTAGGATTTGAATATTATTTTTCTGCCTTAAATGAATACAAAGAGGTAGTCGTTAATACAAACCATCGTCTAAGATAAAAGAGAAATAATACTTTCTCCATGATTTAAATACTCTGGATTCTTTTTCAAGCCAACCTTCTTTCATTATGTTTTTTAGATCTTCTAACATGGGATTCTACATATTTTTTAATATATTTTATTTTTAAAAATTATCATTGAGAATTTTTCAAAATTCTTTATATATAAATCAACTTCTCTTTTGTTGTCGTTATTATTTATAGTTCTCATATTAACTAATTTTTTAATGTACAGAATTTCAAGAAATTAATGCAAATATGTTAAATAAAATAATTAATTTGTGATGCAAAAGACAATGTATGAAATAATATTGATAATAGTAATCCAATTGTAAAATGGGCTTAAAGAAAAGACAATATCTTCTTGACAGTTGAAGTTAGAGACTTGAAAGAAGAAAAAGTTGAACTAACAACAACATCATTGAAATTTAGCGCAAGTGCTGAAGGTGTAAATTATGCATTTGAAATCAATTTGTTTGCAGAAGTCATCGTTGAAGTAATAGATAACTTTAATTTAAGGATAGCAAATGGACAAATTATGGTGTTAATGTAAGATTCATTTTAAGAAAAAAAGATTAAGCAGCAACATATTGGACAAGATTGATAAAAGAAACTCATAAATTATAATATTTATAAGTATGTATAGTATTATAATCTATAGGTTGATTGGACTAAATATATTGATGAAGATGATGAAAATGAAGAAGGAGGAAAAGGATTAGATGATTGGAATGCCAATAATTTCTAAGGATTTGATGGTCAAGGTTAACCAGATGAAGATGATGAAGATTAAGAAGAAAATGAATAAGAAGAAAAAGATGAATAATAAACATCATAAGAATAATAATAAACATAAGAATAATAATAAAAGGAATAAGAATAAGAATAGAATTAATGAGTTAATTATTAAGTAAATATTAATCATTTTTAATTAATCGATGAATTAACTTATTTTGATAAGTTTAATAGCTATATCTTTAGTATAAGCAGATCTTCCTGTTCATTGTCTTAAACATTAGATTGTTGGAAAATGGAAAATGGAAGTTTCTGGAGTTTAATTAAAAGGTAAAGGTTCACTACCTTGCGGTCATCATGTTCCTGATACATAACATTCATCATATAAAGCTGGTTGGGAAGATTTTCGTGCTTCTGATTCTTTTGAATTAAACTTAGGAAATGATTATACTGTTACAGATAAAGAGAGAAAATCAACTGGATCGTGGACTATGGTATATGATGAAGGATTTGAAGTTGAACATAATGGAATTAAATATTTTGCATTTTCTAAATATGAACCAAATGGAGTTGATTATAAATCATTCTGTGGTGAAACTTTGATTGGGTGGTATAATAACTAAAAGACTGGTGAAAAAGGATGTTATAGAGCTATGAAATCTGATGGTAATGTTGATGCAACAGATTCCTATAAACTTATTAGTGTTGTTTAACCAGAATTTATTTAAAAAAGTACAAGACATGATGATAGAGTGAAATTAAGTAAAGGCTTCACAAATCATAGAGAAGCAGTTGAAAAATTAAATAGTATTCCAAAATTATGGAAAGCATAAGCATATGATAATTTAGAAGGTGTAAATTTGTTAGAATTGAACAAGATGGCAGGTAGAAGAAAGCATTATCAAGGGAAAAGTTTAAAGAAAAGCTCTTTCAGTTAAATAAAAAGCAGTGATGTATCAGATCTACCAAAATCATATAGTTTAGAAAGATATCTTGATCCACCAAGATAATAAAAATAATGTGGATCTTGTTATGCTATATCAACAATGGAAATGTTATCAGCTAGATTAAAAATGAAAGGTGAAAAAGTAACATTATCACCTTAATATTCAGTGGATTGTAATTATTATAACTAAGGTTGTGATGGTGGATATCCATTTTTAGTAGAGAAGTTTGCATCTGAATAATACTTAGTGACAGAAGAACAATATCCTTATAAAGGTGATGTAGGTACATGTAAAAAGATAGATTATTCATCATAACAAAAAGTTTATGGTGCTAAAAACTATAAATATATAGGAGGTGGTTATGGATTAAGTAATGAAAGAGATATAATGTTGGAATTATTTAATAATGGTCCAGTAATTATGAATTTTGAACCTGCATAAGATTTTATGTATTATAAAAGTGGAATATATCATTCAGTTGCTTAACATGATTGGTCTACTTCTGATCATCCTGAATGGGTATTAATATTAAATTAATTATAATAAGGAAAAAGTAGATCATTCTGTATTATGTTATGGATGGGGTGAAGAGAATGGAGTTAAATTTTGGTTATTATAAAATAGTTGGGGATAATAATGGGGAGAAAATGGAAATTTTAGGTATTTTATTTATTTAATTATTATTTTAAAAGAATGAAAAGAGGAGTTGATGAATCTGCTATTGAAAGTATGGCTGAAGCAGCTGAACCTATTATTTATTCTAAGTCTTCAGGAGAATTTATTGAATTAAAATAGTCTAATCTAAGAAAGTAATGACAATATATATTTTAATAAATCAAATCATTTGTTTTTTTTATTTTTTTAGGATTGAGAACAGAATGATTTCATCTCCTTTATTTTCATCTTTATATTTTATATCCAATCTTGGATTTATTTTTTATTAATCAATTGCATTCGTGCAATTTGATAAGGTTTCTTTTATTTATACTACTTCTTCATTTGGATCAAAAACGCATACTGTTATAAAATTATCAAAATTAATTCCATATCCAGTTCCTTATTTTATTTAACGTCCTTTTCCATCAAATCGATCATCTCTTATTGCTTTATATTTTATTTTCTTCTTCTCTACTATTATTGTTTCAAAATCTTCAGGTTCCTCAGGTATGTCTTCTGTATCATCTACCTGGGCTCTACTTAGTGTTAATCTTGGTCCCAAAGCAGAATTTCTCATATTTCTCACTGAATAATTTATAGTTTATTATATTCAATTATCATCAATTTTTTTTCTTTGTAAATTAAATTTTAAATATTTTAATATCCACCAAATACATACACATAAGTACTTTTCCTTATTAAATTTTCATTCTAAAAATTTAAAACACTTTTGTCACTATTTATATTTGTGCTTAGATCTCTATTCTTTATTATTATAATTAAATTTATATCTTTGAAAAAATTCTGCACATGTATTTCTTTTTAATCACCTAATCTTTCAAGTTTCTCCTCAACATTCTTCATTATCAATTATTTAAGCAAGTATTAAACTTACTTTAAATAATTCATTTCCTATTTTTATTTCATCAATTAAAATCAATTTTTGTGATCTCTTTTTTATTATCGTTTTTAAATAGCAATTTGCCTCAAAAAGATAAGTATTATAAATCATCAAAAGTTCACTAATCTTTACCCATTTCCCTTAAAAACCTCCTTAGAACTAATAATTATATGAAATATAAAAAAAAATTCTTTGCATAATTATCGCCTCAAGGACAAAATTTTCATAAACAAAAATCACATATTTTATGTGAGCTTTATTGTAAATAATAATTTTTTTAAAAATCTCTATAAATAATACTTTATTTGTGTAGATCATCTACAACAACAAGATTTCTACAAGATAGAATCTTATTTTTCAGATATTTTTTATTGATATTAATCTTCTTATATGGTTAAAAAATTCACCCTCATTTAAGAAATCTATAATAGAATGTAATTTTGTTTCAATTTAAAAGAATTTGATAGAGCTACAATCAGAAATTTCTAATATCTATCTTTCAGTTTAAATATAATTTTTTTATGAAAGTATTTGAACTTCTTTTTTTCATACTATCAAAAACTGATATAGTTATTGCATACTTTTTCTGTGTTGGTTATATTATAAATTATTTCAATCATAATAATTATAGACTAATATAAGCTATCCTCTTGTGCCTCCATTTTAATCCTAGTATTATCTCTTATTAATATTCTCAAAATTACAAATTCTTTTATCCTTTAATAATCATCCTCCTTTGAAAAATATTAAGAATCCTTTATGTGTATTTTTTCTCGATTTCTTCTCAATACTAATGTTTAACTTCATTAATATAAATAGATCAAATTTACAAATAAATTTATATAATTATAAGTGATTCACTTTTTCATATATATTTTTAAGATATCAGAGTAGAATTAAAGGACAGCATTGGAGATTCATTAAATATAAGTATAGTATCTATATAAAAATAAACTTAATTACAAGGTTGTATTAATATTTTTTTTTTAATTAAGATTTTTTCTGCTTATTCATAAAATGAATCTATTTGTTTTTATAATTGTCCTAATATTTGAAGTTAAACCTATCCATTAATCCTAGATAACTCAATTATGATATGATTAAATTATCTTGTATTCTAAAATAAATATAATAAATATGATATTAAAAGGGGTTAGATTGTTAACAATAAGATATTTTATTTGCATTTGAAATCATATTCTGTTCTTTCTTAAGATTAAAATAATTTGATTATATAATCTATTAAATTTGTTAGATTCACCAATCTTAAACAAATTTTATTTAATTGACATCTTTAGATCATTTATACTAATGCGATGCTTAAATCAAAAATTAATTCAAAATTTTTTTCTTTTAATCCTCTTTTGATTATATTTTATTAACTTTTAAATACCTTTAGTATTTGATTTGTATGTTGTTCTTGTATACTATATTGCTTTTTCCTTAATTCAATAAAGTTTTTATCTTCTGAATCAATTACAAGTATAAATGTCACAGTATCTAAAAGACATTCAGAAAAAGTGATTGATTATTATTTTTTATTATAATGAATACTTAAATTTTCCATAGTATATCTTATTGAAGTATTTTTTCTTTATTTAGTTCTATCCCAAATATATTATTCTAAAGTTTTACTTCCAACTCTTGAATTTCTCAAGAAATGTAGCAAAGGATTTTCAACATTCATTAAGAAATGCATTTGAATCATTCTAGAAATCTAAAATTGTTATTTCTCTTCATTGCATGTAAAAATGAAAGTTGGCTTCGATATTAATTATGGTAATAAAACCTCTTTAAGTTAGGTTATTATAAATTAGTACCCCATTAGCTGTCTCTTATTGAGAACATGTAAGCCTTGCGTAAGTGAACATTTTTAATATAAATGCAGAGACATAATGATAAGAACACAGCAGCAGAATATATTTAATCTTAATAATCTAGGCTTGTATCAATCGTATTGGCTATAGTCATTCTAATAACTGTCCAAGTAAAGTTTGTAATTATTCCATCAGGATAATCACTCACTAACATAACGACTGAATGTATAAACATCTAATTTTAACCAAATAGATAAGTATGTTAAACTTCATTCTACCTCTAATTTATTTAATACAACATTAAAAAATGATTAGTAACATAAAATCCTATTCTTGTAAATTTTTTATAAAAGTAACTCATTACACTTGCCAATACAAATAGGCAAAACCCTATTATTTTAAGTGTAAATTAACTCTGATTATTATTTATAAAACCATCAATATTCTTTATTCCTAATATTATTATTGAAAATATTGCTAAAACCATAAACACAGGATACTATATTTTCTCTAATAAAAATGTTTGATACAATTATTCCAAATCTCTATCTTTAAATTTTAATGAAAATTTATTCATCAATATATTAAATTTTAAATAATGAAATTTTCTACTAAAGAAAAGATAATTTTATAATATAAACTCATCAAATTAAACTACTGTTATTATATCTTTTAAGTTGAATAAGAAAATTCGTTTAAAAAATGATAATTTATATAAATTTAATATTTAACTATTTCTGTTTAAATAAATACTCATTAAATTAATCAATTAGTAACAAATTTTTCATTAAAAATAACATTAATAGGAGTACCTTTTCTTAGCATTTTATGAAATATTTCATTAAGATTCAATGGTTCTGATTATAGTTCTTATGATACAATTGATGTGTCATCAATTTTTCTTTTATTTGTATATTCTTTGATGAGAGATTATTATTTTCTCTTCTATCCTAAACATTCTAAATTTTTTGATTTGAATAATAACATACAAACCCCCACCTAAATAATAAATTCCAATAACTTCCCAAAATTTATGAATGTTAATTAATCTATTTATCGTCCTCAAATTTTAATGAAGTATTTCTTTTGATACTGAAATTTTTATTCATTCTTCTTGCATTTTAGAATTTCTATTCTTGTTTGTATTAAATTAAGTTTATCAGTTTTAGTAGATAATTTCATATTTGAAGAATTTTGTTAGTTCTTTCCTAATAAAACTTAGCCAAATGATCTTTTAGCACAATTACTATACTTTTATGAATTGGACATTTAATTTAATAATAATTTATTTAATTAATATTATATCATCCTTTTCCAAGTACATCATCTCTAAGAGATTCACATACTTCAACAACTTCTGCAACTATATCTTCTGGTAGTGCTAAATTTACAAGAGTATCACTTAAATGTTTTACTACAAGATTGAAATGAGTATCATCAATACCCAATCCTCTATGAGCTTCTAACATATCTCTTCCCATATAATTTGAAGGTCTAAATCATTTTTAATTTATACCCTCCAAAAAGCATTGTAAGAAAAGCTTACATCTAAGAATTTAGTTTCTTCATATCTGATTTAACAAAGAAGCTTTTTAATTTTGGATCATTCTACAATTTTTGTAATAGCTTATCAACTGTAAAATCAATAGCCATACTCTGGCCTAATCTTTCATAAATTGTTTTTTTCTACATTAAAATTATTTAATTAAATACCTAAATAACAACCCTAGGATTGAAAACTGTTTCAATTGGTGCTTAATTTTTTTAACTTGTATTATTAGGGATTGATAATTTGATTTCACTATCACCCATAAGATTCTTTTTAATCTAATCTTGTTATTTATTAAATTATTCATTTCCCATTAAATTTCTAGCAATTTATTCAGTTTAATCTATATCATTTTCTGGATTCTAGACTCTTTAATATTTATTTTCAATAATTTTGGATTCAACAATTTATTTATCTTAAACTTTCTCATCTTAAATAATTAATAATAGGATTTACTAATTTAGATAGTAATAGGAGGTTGATTTTCATCAGCATCATATTAATTTGCATTAACTTAGATTGTGATTTTACCATTATTATAAGTATTAGTTTTTTATCCATTAATAGCTAGACACCAATCATATTAATAATCCCAATCATATCCATGTTTTTAGAATAATTCTTTGAACATTTTTCTAAGAAAACTATAATCAGGTTTATCTTCGAATCTTAAGGATCTACAATAATTTAAATATGTTGAGAATTCAACTATTAAAATGATAAATAAAAAATACTTGGTAAAGTCTTACATAAAACTTCAACAGGAGTAGTCATTTTTTTTTCCATGATTTTATGATATTTTTCTTATTTATTATTTGCTTTAATTCCTTACCAAGGTAGATAACTTCTTAATAAATAGACCATAACATATCCAATAGCTTCTAAATCATCTCTTCTAGATTATTCTATACCAAGATGTGCATTAATACTAGCATATCTTGCTGTACCCGTAAGATTTTTATTTTCTCTGTATGGAATATGTTAATGTGTTTTAGCGTCTCTATATTTTTTACTTAAACCAAAATCTAGAATATACTGAGTATATTAATTTAATAAAATACCACAGTGTTTGATTTTCTGCCTAATCCAATAAGAAAATTATCTGGTTTAATATCTCTATGTATAAAACTTTTCGAATGCATATATTCAACTCTTTAAATCATTTAATCTGCTAACATGATTACAGTTTTTAATGAAAACTTTCTTTAACATAAATTGAATAAGTCTTCTAAATTTGGTCCCAGTAAATCTATAATCATTACATTTAATCCAGATTCTTATCCAAAATAATGAAGTACAGGAATCCCAACTATTTTTCTTTATAATAAATCATACTTCCTCCTTACAATGCTTTTGTAACCTTTGATTCAAATCCTAATTAAGGATGTTTTGATTTAGTTTCTTCCTAAATTTATTCAAAATCAAATTATACAAATTTTGCTGCCAATATTTCATTTGCTTATGTTGTCACCAAATAAATTTCACCAAAAGAACCACTACCTAATCTTTATTAAGTTGTATATTTTCCTTAATTCAATGGAATATTTTTTATCTCTGCTTGCATTCAATTTATTTAAAATATATTTTAATTATTTCATTTAACAATCATTATTATTAATTATTATTTTATTTCACTCTCATTCATTAAATATCAACTAATTAATAATACTCCTTTAATTACATCCAAAACTCTCATATCTCTTAATTATTACTATTTATAATTTAACTTATAATAAATAAAATATTAATTAATAATAAGTTCTTATAATATTCATTTTTAATACTAATCATTTTATTCATTTAAAGTAAATTTATTAAATCAACATTTCAATAAACTATATAAATTTTACTTGCTTATATATAATTATTAATTAATTTTATCATTTATCTTCAATATTTTAATCTATCTTTCCTTTAATAAACATTTAATCAACCTATCCAATAAACTTAAAAACTATACTATTCACTATTTTTTTATTGATTAAAAATCAACTTTTTTAAAATAAAAATCTTATATATTAAAGCTATCATTTGCTGTTTCAATTGACAAATAATTATTTATAAAATCAAACATCTAATCTTAGATCTAAAAATCAGAATTTTCATCTAATAGTAACAAATAAACAGAATATGGAAAAAAAATAATATATATTTATTACAATATATAATTCAAATGATAATAAAATGAAATAATCCTCAGAAAATTAATAAAAATCAAAAATTTTTTTATAATTTAATAACAGTCCTCTTTTGGATAATTATTTACAAACAATTAAGCAATTAAATATGCTGATATGTTCAAATGTATAAATTGGTGGAATTATACTTGTAAATTTGATGTCATCAAAAATTTTTCAGATATTTTTTAAATTACAAAAGTCAATATATATATGTATAAATATTTATGAGTGCAATTCCTCTTAGAAATCATCAATTATCTAGATCAAAGATATCTCAGACTTTGTTTATGACAAAAGTTTGTTTCCCATCAAAAAATGAACATATTTTAGTTCCTTAATTGATATAACCAATAAACAAATCAGGAAATATCTTATAACATAAAATGCTAACAAGAAAAGCAAATAAATAAATTTAAAATAATTTCTTTGAAGTATAATCTCATGCTCCAAAGTTATTCTAAATATATAATTTAGAGGATATACATTAACAAAATTTATAGAATATTTAAAGTCATAATTCCAACAATACACTGAGGAGATTTAGCACAAAAATAATCAAAAATTAAGAAAGTTTAACAAAGAGATGTGAAAATAAAATGAGAATACGATCATAATCCACTGAAATTTAAACAAACAGAACAAATAATTTTTTTAAATAGGAGCCAACTAAGAAAGTTAGATTTTATGAAAAGGTAGAATTTTGGATTATCAACAATGCCAATGATATCGATGTTAATTATAAATACTTTGAACATATTAAATTAAAATGATTATTGTTTCGAAATATGAAAATAATAAATAAAAAAAAATTTAATATAAACTTTGATAATATATTTATAATTAAAATTACTCAATATTGAGCCCAGATATAAAAAAACTACTAAGACATATTTTCATTGTTAACCAGAAACATTAATCTGAATTTTATTTTTAATTTAAAGATTTACCATCATACAAAAATATTAAAAGAATATTGTAATGAAATTTTTTAATGCCTAATAATTGTACTTGATAACTCATTAGAATTAAAATCCATAAAATTGAAGTTTTTGCTCATCTAAATTGTATGTTACTAGTGTTTAGCCATCAGGTGATATGGCACCAAAAAGGTGTTATGCATCATCTAATTCAATTTCATTTGTAGTCCAATTTGAAGATCCTGTTCCTAGTTTAATTATATATAAATGCTTTTTATGTTTAACATATGCAACATTTTTATTCTTATTATAAACAATTGGAAAATACATACAATCCATGGTATTTGTAGAATGAGCTAATTATAATTTTTTATCTTTTTATTCCTCAAATTTTTAGTTTTCTAATTTAAATACACAAATCTATCCTTAACCTTCATTTGCAGTTATCCAAATAAACATATTTTCGTTTAAAAATGATAATCTATAACCAAAATCTTTGACTTCATTATCTATTAATTATTTGAATTTCCATTCATTATTTTAAATTTCCCAAACGACAATTTTCTGATCAAAACTGCAAGAAACTAGAAAAGTATTTTCTTCATTTAAACTTAAACTAAAAACATCTTAATTGTGATTTTGTAATATTTATTTGAGATTGATTTATTTCTTTTAAAAATCAATATTCCAAACACAGATTTTAGAATCACCACTACCAGAAAATAGTTGATCTTCTTTTGAATTTAAAACTAAACAAGAAATTCTTTAATAGTGTTTTTTTTCAGCTTCTACACTCTCCCATTCATTTTTATTCTGTGACTTCCATAATCTTATAGAGGAGTCTTCACATCCAGAAATGATGCCATTGCTGCTCTTATTAAAGACTACGCAATTAATATAATCATTGTGACCCTTTAATGTGGCAACTTTTGTTATCTCATTTTAATTTAAATTCCACAATATTAAATTTGAATTGCTGCTAGAAATAAATTAAGATCCATCTTAATTAAAAGCCATACCTATGCTAAGAGCTTCATCTTCTATTGTTTTTTTTAAGACTTTCTTCAGTTATAAATCTTTTTAAGATGAAAATTACCCAAAACTATTTGAGATTTCAGATATCAAATTTTACATACACCCTGTTATTTCTAATTGTAAATCATTGCTTTTCAATTATTCTTGTTTACTTAATTTTTCAGCCATTTCATTAATTTATCCCTCATTAAATATCATTGTAAGATTATTCACAGTTTTAAACTGTTCTTTCAATCCTTTCAACATAACATTCCTCAATTAATTTATTACTTTTGAAAATTGACTAACTATATCGAATCGTATTTTATTTAATAACTCTTATTTATCTTCAACAGTTCTTGATAAATTATCTTATGATTTTTAAAGAGAATCCTTCTGTTTCTACTCAAATTCTTTCCATTTTTCAATAAATTCTTCAAAAAACTCTCCATCTCTTCGATTGCATTTACTACAAGCTGATCTTAGATCTTTACTGATGTTTTATGCCAAATTAACAAAAATTATTTCTTTTTTATGCTATTTACAGAATGCTTTCTATTTTGAGTGTGCCTAATTTTTAAATAAAATAAATTACATTATCACCAGAGTTTTCTTATGCCACTTTAATTTTCGATTATGTAAAATCACTCAAGTTCATTTGAATAACATTGATCAATGAATTTTAACAATCTTAATACTCTTAAAAAAGGAAGAAATTATTTAATTAAGCATCAATTTTCTAGAAAAAAGCATTATTTATATTATGAATGTTCTCCATTATTTAAACTTATTCTTCAGAAGCATAATGTTCATTTTATATAATCATTTTATCTAACTCTTCAAGAAAACTAAAAGAAGCTGTGGATTATCCAACTTTATGTAATTATTCTAACCAAGATTTTGTATTTTTTATTATACCATCTAAAGCTTAAAAAGCCTTATCTTTTAATTTATTTATTTCACTCTCCAAAGTTTTTAAATATTTTTCATTCTCTTAAATTGCAGGTGATATTTTTTCCATCATTTTCTTTTGCTTTTCTAATGTTCTTTCAAATGCCTCTTTTAAAGGCATTAAAATTTTTGCTCCAGATTATTCTTATTAACAGATTTTACAAATTAATCTTTATTCTTTCTTTAACTAAGGATCCCAAATTACCATTTCTACAGCTTCTTTATGGTTTTGATTAGAACACTTTAATTCCTTTTCTATTACTTTTGGTTCAAACATTTGTAAATTAAATTATAATATCTTTTTATTCTATAAGAAGATTTAAATATATATTATGTTAATTCATAAAACTCCTTAATATATATAATTCAAGGCTTCCTTTATTTAGTGATAGCAAATATTATTTTATATATTGAATTTTTTCTAGAATTAAGATCAAAGTATGAAAATACCAAAAGATATCTCGCAATACTTCCAAAAATTATTTGAATCAATCGGCCTGATGAATAATATTAAATTTTATTAGCTAGATCTATTGTTGAATCCAAAGGAAATTTTTTTGTTCATTTCAAATGAAGATGTTGTAATTCTGTATCTTAATAAGCAATTTGATTATCAAATCTTTATGATAGTTAAATAAACTATAATTAAGCGTCTTTTTAGAAATAAATAGAGGATTCATCATTTTTGAAGGAAAACTATACAAGCCCCAGTATGAAAAATTTTTTATTTTCCGTTTATATTTTTCAAAAAAGACAAAAAATAGAATATTTAAGAAAGTAATTGCAGAAGAAATAAATATTAAGTTAATTAAATTAAGTCTATAACTTTTTTTTGGGCTTTTTCAGGGATATATATTTTTCAGTTTTTTTTAATATTAATATATAATTTAAAAAGAATAGAAAATTCATA